CGAGAATATTACCAACATTAACTTGCATTCGAAGTGCAACGAACACAAGCCAACAAGCCTTTTTCCTTAACATTTTCAATTTATTAGTAAAGTGGGTATTGTTGTATATGTTCCCTAATCAATAAGATAAGGTTGGATTATTTGACATTACTTTCATATCAAAAATAATTTAATTATCATGTATTGCATCTAAATAAAAAATAATGAATGAATGGTAACCATTAAATTAATGTTCAATGCCATTATTTTTATAAAATTCCATAGGCAAGGAATTCATTCCAAAAATTCAATAAAGCATTTAGTAAATTCATTTAGACTCTTAACTAAAGCTTTGGCCATTTAAATTTTTTTTGGCTTTATTGAATCTTGGTTTCAAATTTATTTGAACTTATTTAAAAGTAATCCATTGAACGCATTTATTTCTTAACTATCAATTTCATTTTATGCCTTTATCTTACTAAACCTTTTTACCATACCATTTCAATTCATACTTGTTTATCCTTAATTTATTAGTTACTAAATTAGGTAACCACTTAGTTGTTACCTTCATTCTATATTTAATTAGTTCCTTTTCATAATCAATTAATTCATTTAAATCATACCGATTGTCCAAGTAACCATTTAGTTTAACAAGTTATGTAACTAATCAATCCATACCGAGTATCAAACTTTACTTATAACCATACCATCCAATTTAAATAATATCATAGTATCTCCGACAACTCAACCATTAAACCTTAAGCAAATAAACTTCAAATTAACATTAATTACATATTAAAATTACTAATTTGTTATGGTGTAGTAAGGATTACACTTACCTCACTTGAAACTTGTCTAATCTTCTTTTCTTCTTTCTTGGCTTTCTTCCTCCATTCCTTCAAAAGTTTACGCCCAAATAGTAAAATTTCCTCTCTCCCGGTTTGATCTTCTAATCTAATTTTGAGGTTTTTTTAGGGTGTTTCTAGACTAATTAAGGTGGTTTGGAATGGTGGTTGAGTGATTTTCTTCTTAGTTGGTGTAGTTCCTCTTTTAAGGTTACTTTAACACTTCTAGTTTGTAACCCTTCTTCCATCTTCTTCTTCTCCTTTTATAGCATGGTTTTCCCTTAAAATTAAGCCAAGTGTTTCACACTTGGTTTAATCTTAAGGTCGGTTATTAAGGACTTCTAGATTTTCCCTCTTCTTCGTTAACTATTCTTTATCTTTTGACTTAGATATTTTCCTTTGTTTCTTCCTACTTTCGTCCCCTCTCTTCTTCTTCTTTTCTCTTAGTTTTTCTAGATTTCTCTAGAGAACTTTGTCCCTTAAAATCAATTAATAAGTCCCCTAAAATGTCACCACTTTACACTTCTTATACCTAAATTTTTAATCTTTTCAATCGAGCTCCCCAATTTTAGTATGTAGTTTCACAATTTTCATCAATTTGACTCTCATCCTAGGGCTATTCCAAGAATAATTGAAGTCTCTAAAGTTTTTTTATCATGTTAATTACATACTAACACTTTTAATCTTTGCAATTAAGCCCCTATATCCAAGCATAATCATAACAATTTATGATATTAATCTCTAATTCAATCCTTACTTATTCTATTAACTTTTCCTTTTAATCATATTTGTGTTTATTTCATTCATAATTAAAGTTTAAACTTTATTTCTCACATTCAATTAACATATTTTTATTAAATAAATAAAATATCTTTATAATATATTTATATTGAAGGAGTATTTTGAATCGTGGATATTGCATCCGCACATCCTCCCTTTATCCTTTCAATCTTCTTTCTGAGCCCATTCAAGAGGATTTTATTGATGAGTTCGATTTGGCCGTTTGTCTACTGATGGGATACGCAGGAAATGATGATCTATATGAAGCATATGGAAGTATTCTTTTGTTTTTTTGTTGTCTGATTGGGGCCATTGTGCGTTATAAGGACTTTGGACAAACCAACGTGGTAGATGACGTTTTTCCACATAAAAAATTTGACTTTATTGGTCATGATGTCTGCCAACGCCTCGACTTCCACCCATTGAAGAACTAGTCGATGCCTATCAAGAAAAACTATGTTTGCCCACAAGGCTTTCGAAAAAAGGCATAGTATAGGCATGCCTCATTGTGAGAAAGGCCTGGGAGATGGGACGAGTATCATTTCCCTTGACGATTGGCGTGGCACTTGGGTGAATCTTTGATATTTGTCACCTTTTTTTTTTTTTTTTTTTTTTTTTTTTTTACCAAGGATTCGGCATCTCGAAGGATGGTGGGGCAATAAAACCTCGCTTGAGTAGTTTAATCAGCCAGGGTCCTTATTCCTATGTGTAAATTACGCACACCCTTATATATCTCTCTGGGAACGTATTGGCTTTGTTTGCTGGATAAACATTTCAATAGGGGCGTCGTGATCGGCCTTTGATAAAGCTACCCATTTAGAAGATAGTACTCAACTAATTTTTGAATTAGGTAAATGGCTTTTATACCCTTAATAGGGAGTGTTCCCTCCTCCTAATATTCTTCGATCGGTACCCGTCAATCTTCCTCTAGGGGTGTTTGAGTAGCGAAGCCACAATGTGCTCCCCTTGGTCTTTAATGTTGGGTTCTTTGTGAATTTCCACCCATACCCTGATCAAAAGATCCATAGAATTAGTGATAGCCAGCTTTTACAAAATATCAACCCATGCTTTTTACTCTCTAGGGATGCGAAAGAGAATGATCGTTCTCCCTTCTTCCTTGGGGTCTTCTATGTGCTTTGTCACTAGTTGGTGATATTTAACCATGGAGGTTTTCCTTTTTTCAAAGACCCCTTCACCCTGCCTAACAATCAATTGGGAACCGATGTGGACGTGAAGGAGGGTAAGCTTTTAGGGCTCTAACTAGGTTGAGGCTGACTATCATCGCTTCATATCTAGGTGTATCGTTAGATAAAGGAATTAGAAGTGGAGCCTGTATTTGAATGCTCTTTTGTTTGAGCTTACGTGTACTATGTCGATACCGCTTCTGTACACATTAGAGGCTCTATCGACACATGGTTTTCATTTTTTGGTAGAGTGGTTTTTTTGTTAGATTCTCTCTCTCTCACAGGGCATGCGTCTCGTTTTTTATATCATTAAAGGTGCATTCAATAATAAAATCTATTAGGGCTTGGGCTTTAATTGCTTCTAGGGGCTGATATTGGAGCCCAAGCTCCCGTAGCTCGATATCCTAACAAACTAAATGGCCAGATGTGCTCGGTTTATGGAAGGTTTACCTGAGTGGATGTCCAGTTAAAACCATAACAAAGCTTAAAAGTAAGGCCTTGACTTTTTAAATGCACCAACGATTGCAAGGATCAATCTTTCTACTTTTAGCTATCTCCTTTCGACGTCCTAAAGAACCCTACTTGTATGATAAACTAGTCTGAGTTTCTTCCTCTTCTCTTACTAGGGAGGCACTGACTGCTATGTCTGCTACTCTAAGATATAAGGACAATGTTTCTCGGTCTCTAGACTGGGATAAGATTTGTAAGGAAGAAAGGAAAGTCTTCAGTTCTTCAAATGCTTTTGCACACTCAAGCATCCACTGGAAGTTATTAATGTTTTTCAAAATAGCAAGAATGGCATACATCATTACCCTAGCAGGATATAATGTGATTTTAGGTGGTCAGGTGTACAGTTAGCCTTTGTATGTCCTGTACTGACTTGGGGAAGTGTATGTCCAAAATGGCCCTAATTTTCTTCGAGTTTGGCTCTATCCCTTCGGTGCTTGCCAGAAAACCCAAGAACTTTCCACCCTTATGAAAAATATGTATTTGGTAGGATTGAGCTTCATTTGATGCTTATAGAGGAATGATAATACGTTATCGAGATCTTAGAGATGCTCTTCAAAGCTCATGCTTTTGGCAAACATATTTCCCGTACAAGCTTTATTTTATTTATTTATTATTTATTATTATTATTTTTTTTTTTTTTTTTTTTTTTGCCTAGTTGTACCCCATAGATTTTGTCAACCTTTCTTTGGTAAGTGAACCTTGCATCTCGAAGGGTACAAGGGATGGCCTTGTAGCAATAGGTGCCCTTATCAGTGATGAAGAATGTTTTTTGTTCATCATCTGGGTAGATTGGAATTTGGTAATATCTTGAGTTGGCATCTAATGAGCTTATGATTTCGAAACCAGTGGTAGAATCTACTAACATGTCTTAGGGAGAGGGAAGTTGTCTTTTGGGCAGACTTTAGGTTTGTGAAGTCTACATACATCCTCCACTTTTTCATTATATTTTTTTACTATTACCAGATTTGTCTGCCATTCGAGAAACATGAATTTCTTAATAAACCCTGTCGTCTAAAGTTTGTAAATTTTTCAGGAGATTGCCTTCTATTTTTCTCCCCCAAAATTCGTTTTCTTTGGCATATGAGGTCAAGGAAAGGATTGACATTAAAGCAATGTGAGGCTACATTTGAGCTGATCTATGGCATGTCGACCGAGCAAAAATCAAAGTTATTGCTTTGGATTCTGAGGAGTTTGACAAGTCGCTCTTTCTGGGCAGCATTAAGGTTGACCCCATTTTAATTAAGGAACTGGGATCTTTTCCCCTCAAGGTTATGGAGTCCGACTCTTTCGCTATTTTCGTCTTTCTTTCTCTCCTTTTTTATTTTGACTGTTGGATTTCAATTATCATAGCATTTTTTCCTTTAGAGAAGATGAGGCGCACTTGCGAGAAGCTAACTGGTTTCCTCTTATCACATCCACGCTGCCCTCTGTTGGGAATTTTATGGCTACATACCTTATGCTAACAATCATTTTTATCTTGTGTAGCAAGGACCTTCTAACGATATAACCTTGTAAGTGAAGCCTATCAGGATGACTATGAAAGTTTGTCGGAGTGTTTTAATTTTTGGATGAGTGTCCATGATGACTATTATATCGATAGCTCCTTCTACGGGCATCTATTTCCTCTATTCCTATTACTGAAGTCTTGATGGGTTGCAGTTTAGAAGCATCGATTTTTAACAGATCAAAGACTTCTTGTGAGAGGATATTGACGATGTTGTCGTCATCTATGAGCACTATAGGTACTTGATGATTAGAGAAGATTGTAGAGATAAGGGCATCTTTATGGGGAAAAGCTACCCTTTCGGTTTCCTCAATAGTGAAGATGATGCGTTGGTGCCAATGGTTAGGCATTCGAGAGGTGGCAAAGACTGGCTACCATGTATCTTTCTTTCATGACTGGAATCTCCTCCTCTAAAAATCCAGCACAGGATTACGTTGCCTTTCGAAAAAGGGTCGCACCGTGCTTAGAGATCTACCTCATTGAGGTTCTCCTCGGCCTTTTTTCCAATGAATTATTGGAGATAGCCCTTGATGATTAATTATTCTATATCTTTTCTTAATGTAGAACAATCCTCTGTGTCCTACCCTCTGTCTTTGGGGAATAGGCAATACTTTTTCATATCCTGAAATTGTAAAGCACTCTTCATAGGGTGGGGATGAAGGACGTAACTTATCACCTTTTATCATACTTTACACCATTGTACAAGTGGTGTTCAGGGGGTAACATGTAATGTAAGAGGTGTCGATCTATTATGGTGAGGCATCTTCGAACTTTTCTTGGGATTTTGGAAGGTTTGGGGGATTTGCCTTTCCTAACCTTTTTCGATTCTTTTCCTGGATTCGAGAATGGTCTAGTCTGGCACCCTTAGCATCTTCCACCTAAATGTGAGTTTTATCGTCTTCTTCACCCAAAGCAAGCTTCTCTCGCTACAACAGAAAAAAGCTTTCTCGACAGTTTTTTAATCTCCTCTACAATATTACCCATGCGGTTTTCACAACAGCCTCAAAATCGTATGGAATGCAGCCGTTTCTATAATTTACCAGTGGTTTTTCTAACCACCGAAGGTGGTTTTCATGACCGCCTCAACGATTCCGCCCCTACAATGTTATTTTGGTGCAGTGTCTTAAAGAGTGGGTAGAGTTTTTTCCATAACTCTATGTCACAAACCCTTATAATTAGAGCCTCTACGACAATAGGCTATAAGAGTTTTTTTTATGTAATATCTTAACCTTTTTACCTCCTTAAATATTTATATATGAGTGAATAAATTTATTTTAATATATGACTATTTATTTAATATATAAAATTGAGGTATGAAATTAATATTTATGTTTACATGAAAAATTAAATATTATGTAAGCGTAAATATCGGGCAATGTAAATGGATTAGTAAGTGATTAATTTAACAAGTTTAATTATTAAAGGCCATGAAGGTGGATAACTTAGGGACTAAATTGAATTAATTAATATACTTAAGGGACTAAAATATGAGGGCTTAATTGCCATTAAAAAATGAATGTAGAGAAGGCTAATAATTCAGCCACCATGAATGAAGTAACACGAATTTTCTAGAAAAATAAATAAGGAATACTTACTAATATTAATAATCAAAGATTTAAATGAAATTAGAATTTGTTGTTGGAAATGATAAATTAACCTTCGTTGTAACCTCTTAATATTTGGCCAAGGAGCAAGTTAAAAGAGAAAAAGACTAATTAAATTATTTAGTAACACTTTGATTTAAGTATATTTTAAATAATCTAAATGTAAGATCTAAGTTAAGAGTGTTATTTAGCTTGTGACAATTAATTTATGTCTAGCTACATAATTTGGCTAAAAAGAAAAGAACAAGAAAAAATGTTTCTAGCTTGGATGGGTAGATATTTATCAAGAAAAAACTTACTAAGAAAGATGAAAACTGCAAGGAAATTTCCTTGAAAAGACTTGGTAAGTTTCCTTGCCACTTCCTCTCCTAAAGAGGTGATAGAAACTTAATGGGGGAGGCTTCTAGAGAGAGTTTAGCAAAATTAAGTTAGATAAGCACCAAGAAACAATACCCAAACTAATTTGGGAGAGAAAAAAAGGAGAGAAACTAAAAGAAGGAAAAAGAACAAGAAGAGTTGGAGAAGAAGAAAAAAGAGGAACGATCGAATGAAAAGAGAAGAAAATCAAGTGGGTTGTCCAAAATATTCAAAAGGAAAAGAAGAGAGAAAGCTTCCAAATTCTTAAGGTGTGATCAAGACCAAACTAGTTAGATGTAAGTGAATTCCATTTACACCACATGAATGTAATTGATGCATTGATTGATGATAATTAATGATGTTTTATGTGATTTGTTTAAGAGTTCAATTAATTGTATAAATATTGTATTCAATTGAAGACCCAATGTTAATGTGGTTTCTTGATGTTTAACTTTTGGCATTGAATTAATTAATGGATGGGTTTGGTAGATTTGAGGTTTTATTAAAGTATATTAAGAAATTGATGGGTGAAACATTTGGCCAAAATTCATCTAGAAATAGAATGGGTAGTTTGAAATTAAATTATAAATTGACTGGTTGTGAAGTTGTATGATGATAATTTGTGAAGTTATATGATGATAATTTATGTGAAATTAGTAACATTATATGTTAATTGAGATTTGATTATAAGTGGTTTCTTTTGGTGAAACATTTGGCCAAGTTGGGTTTTTGTGAAGATTACTTAATTTACTTTTTAGTGATAATTATATGTTTATGAGGTTTTATGGACTTGAATTGGTTTGACGATTAGGTTTTTAATGTTTGAATCATGTATTATAATTAATAGAGTATATGGCATTCCAACGTTTGGTTAATGAGTTGATGATCATTTAATGGTGATGATTAATGTTTTCTAAAGGATATGGTTCTTTGATGGTGATGGTTTATGCTTTCTAAATGATATGATTTAGCTAGTTACTTGGAAAGTTTGATGGGTATGTCAAGATATGTGATGGCCAAGGTTAATTGGTATATACTTCTATGTTTAATGGTTAAAAGGTATGTTACTTAGTTTAATATCGAGGACATCTATCAATTAGTTTATGATTGAGATGGTTTCGGCCTAAAATTGACTATCATGCTTAAATGAGTTAATTAAATTTTATGCTTAATTGATTGAGTTAATTGAAGATTTGTATTCTATCAAGTGCCAAATTTATTATGATTGAATAGTGTTATGTAATTATTGTGCATGTACTCATGTGTTTAATTAATATGCACTAGTTAATGATTAAGGATGCATAATAATGTTACATGTCATGTTCATAATCATGTTTATATCATTATTTAAATTATTAGTGTAGTCGTTCAAGACCCAATTTGTTTAAATGATTTAAAATATTGTATTATTATATTTTCAATATTAATAAGGAAGTCTTTCTATTAATTTTTTTATTTATAATTTGATAGAATTAGATAGAAATCCATATGATATGCATTGCATTAATAATTAATCAATAAATATGAAACAAGCATCAATGTACATAAATGATATCATTAAATATCCCAATTTATAGCTTTATCACGATTGGACGGTGACAATATGCGATAAGACTTGTGAGTGATGTGTTCTTTCTATAATATAGTAATAGAAGATCTCACATATACTAGAATGGTGATGCCAAAGCAAGCACACAGGTGAATAATGTTAGAGAGCATACCATTGGACTTGACTTCGTTGTGAGAACCCATTTGATATAATCTATGAAAATCTCATACGAGATGAATACAAGTAGTCCTTTGGTTTGAAGTCATTATGGTTATCTTATTAGAGGATTAGTGTACTTTGACATTCATTTTGATGGGTTTACTAAAGAGTTTTATGTGGGTAATTCATTGGGTGCATTAAGAATCTAATAGAGATAGATAGATAACTGAAATAATACATGACATTCCTTATATGCTAAAGGAGTTATCATATTGCATTTTAATGAATATCTACTCCTAATTTGGAAGTGAGTTACCGAAAATTAAAATCAATTTTATAATTTAGGTTTAATAAAATACAAAGGTAACTTAGGAAATTATTTCCTAATATGGGCCTTCCTAAAAATACTTGATCAAATTTATTTGAATGATCTAAATTAATTATTCAATTATTGGGCCAACAAGTTTAAGTCAAATCCTGCAAGGTATTTTAAGTGAACTAATAAACTTGAGAACTTAAGGATAAAGTTCATGGTTAATTAGGATAAGATCAAGCATAACCACATAAATTACAGCTCCTTGACCAAAAAAAAAAAACAAGTTGCCGTATATATAAAGAAGGGAGAGAGAGATGCATAAGAACACATAACAAACTAATCTAAGAAAAAGAAAATTGCATCTCTCCCAAAAGAAAAAACAAACTCACCAACCTCTCTTAGAATTTTATGCCAACTACCTTGTGTGATTTTTAGAGAGAAAAATATACATAGAAAAAAAAATTAGAGCTAGCATTCTAGATTTTTTTTTTATGCTTCATGTGTGGGTGTTTAGCTACATGGATCATCGAGTAAAGGCCGGATGCTCGAACGATTCTATTTGCGAATTTGATTTTGCTCAATAAGAGGTAACATTTAATCATCCGATTGATATATAATTAGTTAGTTTAATGGCTTATCTTGGGACTTGAGATGAAGAAGAACAAAAAATTTTATTTATTATATACCTTCATAGAATGTATGATTTTTCAATTCGTATCAAAGCCTTATTGAATCTTTATTTATATTGATGTTAATTTTGATTAACTACAATAATTATTGATTTTTTTCTCAAAATTTTGATGATTTTTTATATTTTATAAATGTTTAAATCTAATTTTAGACTTGCAAGAGGGTGCGCACGAGGTCAATGTTGTACTTTGGCTATAAAGCACACAAGGTCATCACCGTGCTAAGCACAAACAATTGTGTTCCAAGCCGGATGCGCAAGCTCACAAGCCGAGCCATTGATCGGTAGTTAGCACGCCGAGTTTATGGCATGCCAAGCACACGAGGGCTTATGCCCGGCTAGCATGGCACCTAGACTAGTACGAGAGGGCACACACCAATCCGTGTGCACTAGGCTACTAGTGGCTCGCCTAAGCCAGGTGTGAGGCACTAGCAAGTTACATACGTAGGCTAGAGCCGGGCACCGGCCAACAACTTATGCGAGCCAACCCATAAGCTTTCAAGCCCCAAAAGCCCTAGGTCTAAATGGGCCCAAGGCCCAAAAGTTTGAAAATTAAAAATAAAATTTTTTTTAATGTTTTTATTAAATTATAAAAGTCATAGATTTATAATTATTATAAAATGAAATATGTTTTATTAGTTAAAATGTCATGTATCAATGTGATTGTAGCATGAGTGAATGATATGGATGGGTCGACCAAATTTTTTGAATGTACGTTTGTAATTTTTTATTAAATAGGATCTACATGTCTTGCTTTCTCTTTTATTATGATGTATCTTCTCTTACCATCTTACCGCCCTTGACTATAACTCGAAGTGTCTTATTCATTAATCGTAAGGTAAAAAATAGATTAATAGAATTTATATAAGAGAAGAAGCTAAGAAATAAAGATGAATCTAAAACAAGATATAATAATTCTTCATCTAAGTTTATGTCTTGCTAGTCTTCCTATGACTCGAGAGGACTAGTAGTAGAAATCTATTGTCATTCATCGATCCTTATGTCATGTATGAGATTGATATGATTGAACTTTATTATGCATGATAGTGATGTGATTGATTCATGATATACATGATATGATTAATTTGATGATACCTTATAATATAAAACCCTTCAAAAAACTATCAAGTTATATGACTTCCAACGTCATGAGAAGAGAACTATCATAGATTTTGTTGACTTGTTGAGATAACTTAATATCCTTTCTTTCTTAAGGTAACAAATCATGGGCCATATGATGTCTTTAAATATTTAGGTCTAACTTAAATGAATTATTGGGTTTGTTGAGATAATTTAAGGTCCAACAAATTCATAGATAAATATTGGTATTCATATAAGATATAAATGTTAAGGAGTTGTCATACCAATATAAGATTAGAAATTGCATTAAATATAATTGTTAAGAAGTTATCTATCTATTTATTTTGTGTA